TTAGGATGACCATCTACCCTTGATAGAGTTTGCCTACAACAACAGCTACCAAGTGAGTATTGGCATGGCTCCGTATGAGGCGTTATATGGGCACCCATGCAGATCACCGATTTGTTGGGAAGAAGTGGGCGATAGAAAACTGTTCAGCCCAAAGCTGGTAAAAGAGACTACATCCAAAATAGTTAAAATCAAGAAGAATATTCAGACGGTTCAGAGCAGGCAGAAGAGTTATGCGGACACTTGGAGGAGAGAATTAGAATTTAAGGAAGGCGACCAGGTATTCCTTAAGGTCACTCTTTTTAAGGGAATCAGTAGATTCGACAAGAGGGAGAAACTGAACCCCCAATTTATTAGACCATTTGAAGTTTTAGACAGGATTAGTACCGTTGCCTACAGACTAGCATTACCTCCAAAACTTTCTAAGGTCCACAATGTGTTCTATGTGTCTATGCTATGCAAGTACAACCCGGACCCCTCTCATGTCTTAGCTCACGAACCTCTTCCACTGCAGGAGGATTTATCCGATGAGGAAATACTAGTCGACATTGTAGATCGAAAGGGTAGATTACTTTGCAACCGAAATATATCCGTTGTGAAGGTCATATGAAAGAACCACACACCAAGGGAGGCCACATGGGAGATAGAATAAGACTTTAGAGCCTAGTACCCCCAGTTGTTCGATCGAGAGTAAGAGGCAAATTTGAGGGACCAAATTTCTTTTAAGGGGGGGAGAGTTGTAACACCCAACATTTGTATTTATTTTTATTTTTATTTTTTTATATAAATATAATTATTATTTTATTGAATTTAATTTATTTTAATTTGATTTATTGAAAATAATAATAATAATGGTAAAAAAAATAATTAAGGATTAATTGAAAATAATTTTGAAAAAAAGAGGTGAAAATTTAGGTTCTAGGTGTATTTTTGAAAGAAAAATCAGAAACTGGGGGTCAAAATGTAATTTAAAAAGGTTACACCACATCAGCTGCTCGGTTACCAGTCCCGACCAATCAGGACAAGCTAGGTGGCAGAGGTGCTGACGCGGGAGACTACGCGGGGGAGCCACATGGGCGATCCGCGTGCGTGCGATCGAACGGCTGAGATCTGTTCCCATGCGCACGGACGACTCAGATCGAAAACGTGCACGGAAGACCCAGATTGCATCGCGCACGGACGACTCAGATTGAATCGCGCACGGACGGTCAAGATTGAATTGCGATGAATGGTCCAGATTCACTCCTTATTTAATTGAGATCGGACGGTCTAGATTAAAAGCGATTGATGGTCCAGATCAAAAGTGGATGGGTATAAATAACCCCATCCACACCCAAACCCTAACCCTAGCGGCCATAGCCCCTCGCCGGAGAAGACAGCCCAACTGCCGGGGAACCGACCGCCGCCACCCGGCATCGTACCGGAGCAATTTTCGACCGCCAAACGAGGTAAAAAATTTTCCACTTGCACGAAATTCAATTTTAAATCCACCTATGGCCAAATCGGAGTTAAAGAACCGGCCAATTGGCTGGAAAACGCCGTCAAAGCTCGGCGGTGCCGCCGCGAGGTGTTTGAGAAAATGCCTCCGATGAGGCCCTTCCTGATTCCTGTTCGATGTGATTTTTCCACCGTTGTGACCACCGTTTCCTTCTCTACAGGTTGACCGAAGCAAAAGGCCCAACTGCAACGCAAGCTGGAGGAGCCGCCGCACCGCAGAGCCCTACCACCGGTGAGTTTCAATTTTCTATGTTTTTTAGGTCCATCGAGGGCCCTAAGTGTGTTTTCTTGCAGGAATCGGTATAAGTTTGGCTGAATTCAGCCAAAAACGACCGAAAATAGCCAACCCGAGGTGGATTGCCGTAGCAGGCGGCGATGCCGTCGCCGGAGCACGGCGGAGCCGCTGCGCTGGATTTTTGGAATTGGCCGAGTAGGCCTTGGGACTGATTTTGGGTTTATTTGGGACACTTCTAAGTACCGTAAGCGCGTTTAAGTTTTTGAAAAAAAATTCAGAGAACTTAGGGACCGCCCATAGGCGTAGTAACCATCTAGTTTTCGGCGTCAAATCAAGTAAGGACCCCTCATCCTATTTCCTATTATGGAATTGAAGTTTGAATAAATGATAATACTATATTTTGTACGAATTAAATAGATATGCATAATTAATTATGGTTGCTAATAGAGCTTGAACCGGACATTATTCTCTATCAATTACTGTTTGATTTATTTTACAGTTTAAATGCATTATGATATCTAGTTTATCTATTCTATGATTTTAAATGCATGTATCACTGCTTACTTTACTACTGTTTGATTTTGGAAATCTAAGATATGATTGCATTGTTGGATGTACGTTACTTGTTTATATATTTATGTTTGAGTTGGTAACGGAGACTAAGGACAAATAGGACTGGGATGTGATCTAATAAATGGATAAGATGACAGCCTCACTAGATATCTTGGGAGATGGTAGACGGATCAGGTTCATAGAGAACCCTACCATGAATGTTGTCTCATACCGGACGTGGTATGGAGACTTGGTTATTTGGCGCTTATACCGGACGAGGTATGGGGACGACCCGCTTCACCCTCATACTAGACGAGGTATTGAGATTTAATGTATTGGCACTCATATCGAACGGGATATGGGGACGGCCATGAAATTAAGATTGTTAAGAAAAATGGTTCACGTGTAGCGGGGACACCCCTATGGATCATCATGGATACTAGTAGGCTTCTGAAACGAGAAACGGTGATAATTAGTTATTGTTAATGAATACGAATTTATAATATGTTCTATGTTACTGATTTTACATAAAATTGTGATATGTATGATATTATTGCTTCTATAAATTATTTCCATAAATTCCCCAATGGTAAGAAAAATAGCCCCAATGGTAAGAAAAATGGTAAATAGTTTTATTTTAAATAAATGTATTGGTTTAAATCTACTACTCCATTGGTTTTTTTGATTTCTACAACTTTTGCTTCTGTGACGGTGATATAGTGTGATGTCCTTACTGAGTTAGTGTATCTCACCCCTTATTTAACAATTTCAGATCAGGAGGACTTAGTTCCCGGTTCCGATCCGCAAGAAGGCTACGAGTAGATACTAGATACTTTATAGTTTCCTTTATTTTTTTATTTTTCGTATTTTTTTAGAGAATTTGTTCCGTGATGTTTGTTAGTACTTTTGAGTTATCGTGTAAGAGATGTTAACCTTAACATTTATTTCGCTTCTGCACTCAAATTATTATATGCATTTTCTTTTTAAATTTCTAAAGTCGTTACAGCGTGGAACTTGGTGTTCTATATAGGAATTAAAGTGGTGTAGATTATAGAAATAGAGTGCATACCGAGTACAAGAAGCGCAATATATACTTAAAATTATAGCTTTGTTATATCATTAAGAAATATCTCATTTGGATTGATTATATCATTAAGTATCTTTTTCAGATTGATGTCAAATGCATAATAGTTGAAGATGATTCAAAAGTTATAACTCCATATTTTCATCTATGAAGATGGTATTTGAATTGGGATTGCCTGTAGATGATATTTTTCTCTTAAATATTTTTTCAGTTTCTTAGATTTTTAGAAATGGTAATAAGGTTATACATGCTTTAATAAAAATAACATTGTAATTACGTGATAAGAATTTGGTTGCATTTGAACTACCTGATTTATTGGGTAACTTGTTTTAGTATGATATTTTTTAAGATTAATATATGTTTAGTAGTAATATTTTCATGAAAAAGATTGATATTAATAAAAACTGCATAAAAATAGCATTTGTAATGTTATATAATTTTTTGAAATTTATTTAAAAATTATTTAAATATTCAATTATTTATATTTTTTCTTCACTATGTGTGAAATGGAGAAAATTATTTCTAAATAATTTAAATAATTGCAGGACATACTTGAAAAATTATTTCAAAAAAAATATAAAAAAAATTAGTCAAGGTCATTTAATTTTAAAAATAGACCAAATTATCTAGTTTGTATAAATGACCCAATAAGATAATGAGATTCTACCATTTTTTTTATTAAATTTAGAAGAACAAAATTTGAATATTTAACGTAATATCTTATATTAATAATTATCAGTAGTATAATTCTTTTAAGAAATTGTTTGAATTAGATTATGTGTAGAACAAATATATTACTTAAAAAGATAAATTATATATAAAATAGTTACCTATTTAAAAAGAAAAAAAAATATATGAAAAGGATGGTACAATTATAATCTCTAAAAATTTAATCATGATGTTTATAGTAAAACGATATATATATGCACATATCTGAATAAGATTGGAGCTTTTCAAGGAGGAGTAGGTAATTTTATGTTATAACTCACCTTTATTTAGTTACTAAGACATGGAAAAAAGTACCTTTTTTCTTTTTTAAAAGATGAAAATTTACCATTAAATGCATGATAATATATTTAAATATCAGATTCCAAAGACAGTATTTTAGCAAAATAAGATATCTTGTCTTACAGATTAGGATAAGCGATTCTTAGATACCCACAAAGACAAACTCTTACTTTATTATATACAAGAAATCATCATGTATACATATATATATATATACACACATATCCTACCTGAAATTGAATGTTTTATCAGCATAAGAAAAGTCATTTATGTTGTAAGAACTTTTGACCCAGAAAAAGTGTGAAAGTAAATCATCTTTTTCATCACTAAAGTAAAATTATCCCTTAAACTTGGTTGAATTAAATATAGAGAAATTTTTTCTTTACCTTTTAAAAAATGAGACAATGAAACAAAATAAATGTCGGATAATACCAGAAAAGAGAAACATAAAAGCTGCCTTCTCTTTCAGTGGGGGACTGGAGGAAGTGGAATACTACATGGTTCTGAAAGCAAGTGATATACGTTGTAAGAAAATAACAAGAAAATTTTTAAGTAAAAACAAAAATTGCGATTGGAGACACGAAAATAGAACTCAGAAACAATGACAGGAAATTTTTTTTTCCCTTAATAGATTTTTTTCTTTTACAATAAAAGTGCATCAGCATGTTCCCTGAACTGGATTGCATTAATCAACATACATCTGGAGAATTTATCTTTCTCACTTAGCTAAGAACTTCGTTTTAGCATTTCTTCCCGGGAATGTTAATAACTGAAGTCGACAAAATATTGGAATATGTGATAATTTTTATATATTTGCTAAGCAATTTTACTTATTAACATAAATTAAAATCTAACACCCTATTACACTTGTTTTTTTATCTTTCAATTAGGTTATAAATGATTGGTTCAAAATTCCCAAGTATGCAGTTGATGAACCACAATTTAGCGCCTGTACCTGATTTCTCTCTGCAGTTCAATCTGAAACAGCTGTTGATCACTCCAAGAATCCAGATATGTCTCCATTCTCAGTATTCCAAGCAGCAGCATTTTTACGGAGAGTCTAGCCAAAGATGAAGATTACTTCTTGTGAATCAGATCATGCGGACATCACCCCGTTGATACAATGTTTTCCTTATCCTTGGTGCCACAGTATTCTGAAACAGCATGATCAATGAATGAAATAAGATCTTCAAGGGAAGAAATCTGACTGTGGTCCCCCAACTTAACCATCAAAGTGTCTCCTTGGTGCCACAGTATTCTGAAACAGCATGATCAATGAATGAAATAAGATCTTCAATGGAAGAAATCTGACTATGGTCCCCCAACTTAACCATCAAAGTGTCCTTTGCATCAAAGCTTCTGTGCTGTTCCTCATGGATCATGCTGTATGTTCTGTCCAGACTCGTGCACAATTTAAGAAAATCAGGATCATCAAGCACTTCTCTCAAATCCACATTGCTTTTATTTTCTGGCAAGCCATCGATGGATTTCATCTTCAACAAAATCTTCTGGATAGACACAAGATTTAGAGCCAAATTTTGGCCTACATGTGAAAACAAAATTGGATGCTCATAATTTTTATATAAATTATGAAGTTGCACCACGTTGGCCAAAGAGAATTGCAATATGAAGATGAAGAAGTCATAGAAGTTCATGCCTGTTAAAAATAAAAGCATCAGCACAATAAAATTCAGTATTCAAGACAAGTAACAAGAACTGGGAAATATGCATATCCATCTCTTCAAGCTTTAAAACTTCAAATAGTTGCAAAATGTATCTCAAATTGTTGCATGAACTCATGACAACTCAAGTAACTTTGCAAAAACAGATTATCCTTTCGATTAAATAGATATGTGGAAAATAATTATACAATAAAACAACAGCATAACATTTATCTGCATGTATCTCAAGATCTTTAACAAAATATTGTTAACTAAAGACTGGTTAGCTTGCTTGGCCCTAGAGAAAACATATGGTGATTACAATAGCAAGGATGACAGAGAACTAGAAGGTATATCATGCTTTACCAAATCATGCATTCCTCTTAAGATTTACAACAGACCTGTGTTGGCAGCAAGATTACGTTGGCAAAGTGCTTCAAAATCTTCACAAATGTCTTTCATGTCCTCTATGTATCCATTAGTCTCCTCATAGTCCCTCCATAGTAAATCCCACTGATTGAATAATGAGATTAAAATAGATGCATTTATATATATGTATGCTTCAGGGTCATAAAAATATTGGCCTTTCTGATTTGCATTAGAGGTTATCTTTTGAATGGTTAAAATCTTAGAACCAGCACTGCACTTACCACCCAAGAAATGTTATAGGCGTTGAACCAGTTGTGGTTTATCGATATTGTATCTTCCTGGAAGCATTATGAAAAATTTATGGGAAAGCTATCCTTGAATATTTATAGACAACTTTACCAGTAAAAGAGAATGCAATATACCAGATTATGAACTTGATGATACCAGCCGCTGGGCACAAAGATGATTTCATCACGTTCTTGAACACACTCCAACCAAGTAGCCTTAACACAAACAAAAGTACAAGGATATGGTGAAGGAAACTTCATAAAATTCACTTTCAAGGCTCAGGCAGTGATTTACCTTCTTAAAACCAGGAAACATAGTTTCATTAATGTCTTCAAAGAGGTTAAATACACAATTTTTCATGTTCCTGAGATAACATGGAAACTGAATCTTAGGACATGTTACTAAATTGAAACCACCTACTAGAAAAAAATTAAAATCCACCGTACGAAGAATAAGATAGAGATGCACCAAAAAGGAACTTCAGTTGCACCTGATCACATGATTTGTTCAATGAGGGAACCAGTGTGTTCTTTTCAACTACTGAAGTACATAAAAGCATAACCCAGATCGATGACATGGCAGCCATCCATACATTTTCAGCATAACAAGACTAGAGAAGATGGATTCAATTCTACAACTTTGGGTTATGTTTCGTTAAAATTTCAATTCTATGAAATAGGAATGAGAATACAGTATAAATGCAATAATAATTTGAGAGAAATAATATTAATTCCAAGTCAATTTCATGTCTAAATTTAAGTTAGGTGCTTCAGTTATTCATTCCTTAATAGATAAGAATATAAATCCATAGTTGTGGATACGAGAAATTAGTGGAGTTAATTTAATTATACATCTAATATGTAAATTATGACTAACTTTTATATTTCAAATAATTAAATCCTACAAATTGAATACGAATAAAACAAAATTGAACCAAAGTGGAGATATTCAAAATTGAACCAAAATTGAACCTAAGTGTAATGGGGGCTCACACAGGATGGGCCGAGAAATTCAAAAAGAAAATGGGCCGACAGGAAAAAAGACTAAACTGACTTGGAGAGAAAAAGAGAAATGGGTTGCTAAAGCAGACCCAGAAGCTGAATGGCCAAAGAGTCAGAGCCCGATTGAAGAAAGCAGGCTGATCTTCTCCAACCCGATGCAGGGTGAACCCTCAGGGACAAAATTATGTGAGAAGGGTTTACCCGAAAATAATGATTTAGTATCGGCCATTAATCAGAATGGGTGTTTAGGGCAGATGGTGAATATCGAAACTGAGAGTTTCGGAGCTGACGGGAATACCTCCGAGCAACTGCTGTTAACAGACAGGGAGGAAGAAGATACCTTACCTGTGTTCTCTACTCTGAAAGCTTTCGCAAAAGAGGAGTGCCTTCTGATTGAGGAGTTCTCTGAAGTGCTTGATGAAGAGGAATTAGGGATTGTGCCGGTTGAAGAGGATGTGCAGGCCTTAGCTTCGGTCTCTCTTCCAGAAATTGAAGAAATCCTACAATTAAGCCTAGAAAATATAAAGGTGGTGCATGACAAGGTGCAAGGATGCTCCCAATGGGTGTTTCGAAATATGCAGAAATTCAGTAAGCTAATGGGGATATCTTTGGAAGGTATGGGAAACCTCTCTTACCTCTTTTTTCGGAAATTGAAAAAAGAAAGGTGATGAAGAAAAAAAAGGGACTATACATCACAGGAAAGAAAAAACAGAATGGGACTATGCCAAGAAAACTGAAAAGATTGGAGAGTTCACTTAATTATGACAGGTGTAGGAAGAACAATAAGAACTCGGGGGGAAATGGATTTGTTATGCCAATGATTGGAAAAGTGGTATCCTAGAATGTAAGGGGTATAAATAATCAATGTAAAAGAATAATCATTAGAGGTTGCTTGAAAAAATGGAATCCAAATGTGGTGTGTCTGCAAGAAACAAAACTAGAAAAATGCTCTGAAAATTTGGTTAAAAGTATTTGGGGAATAAAAAATGTTGGTTTGTGTACAGTTGATGCCAAAGGCTCTGCTGGGGGTTTGATCATCATGTGGAGGAAGGATGCTATGTCTTGTGAGGAGATTATGGAGGGGAAACGCTCTCTTTCTTGTCACTTCAAAAATATTAAGGGAGAAATTACTTGGACTATGACGGGAGTTTACTGCAGGGGGAGCAGAGAGGAAAAAGAATTTCTCTGGGAAGAACTGCATCAGTACATGAAGAGTTTTGTGAAAGGAGAGTTTTATGAAGAAATTCTCCTTTTTGTTCTCTTATTTCTTTCAGGCACCAAAAGGTGCTTTTTATAGAGGAAAATTGGCATCTTTTCCGGAATGTGAGGAAGGGAGATAACAGATTTCTGTTGTTATCATGTCACCTCACCTACTGAGAATATTCCACTCTGTGTAATAGAATGGAGAATAAGAAATACCTAATTTATTACAGCATTTTCTACACTCCCCCTCAATCTAGTTTACATATATATATATATATTGAGTAAACTTAGAATGGATACAATATTATCAAATATCTGTTTTGATAGCACTTTTGTTAGGATGTCAGCAACTTGTTGATTGGTAGGGATGCGCATAAGAGCTATGGTTCCATCTTCAATCTTTTCTTTGATCAAATGTCGATCTATCTCTACATGCTTGGTCCTATCATGGTGTACTGGGTTCTTGGCCATACTGATTGTTGATTGATTGTTACATCACACTTTCATAGAAATATCAATAGATACCTTTAATTCTAGTAGTATTCTTCTCAACCATATCCCTTCACAAATTCCATGTACAAATGCTCGAAATTCAGATTCTGCACTGCTACGGGATACTACAGACTGCTTCTTGCTACGCCATACGACCAAATTTCCCAACACACATGTGCAGTAGCCAGAAGTAGATCTCCTGTCCGTTATTGACCCTACCCAATCAGCATCAGTAAAGACTTCAACATCTCTATTTATTTTCTTTTAGAAAAATAGCCCTTGATCTGGTGTCCTTTTTAAGTACCTCAAAATTCTGTACACGGCCTTCATATGTATTTCTGACGATTGATTCATGAATTGACTTACTGTACTGACTGCAAGCTGATATCTGGTCTTGTGTGTGCTAGGTATATTAGTTTCCTGACCAGTTTCTGATACCTCTCTTTGTCAACAGTCTCTCACATTCTGTAGATCCCAATTTCATTGTTGGATCTATAGATGTATCTGCAGGTTACAACCAAGCATACTGTTTCCTTCAAGAGATTTAGTACATATTTCCATTGTAATACAGAAATTCCTTTTTGAGATCGGGCAATTTTCATACTAGGAAGTACTTGAGTATTCCAAGATTTTTAATTTCGAAGTCCTTGACTAGAAACTCTTTAAGTCTTCGAATTTCTTCGATATGATCTCTTGTGAGGATAATATTATCTACATACACAATCAGAATTAATCTTTTACCTGAGATACAATCTTTGACAAATAAAGTGTGATCTGATTGACGTTGCTCATACCCAATATGTTTTATATCCTTGTGAATCTGTCAAACCAAACTCTTGGGGATTGTTTAAGTCCATACCGCGATTTCTTGAGTCTGTAAACCTTGTGAGACTGATCTTCTACTTCCAAACCTGGTGGGATATCCATGTACACTTCTTTTTCTTGATCACCATTTAGAAATGCATTTTTTACATCCAGTTGACAAAGGGGCCAATCAAGATTTGATGCAAAAGAGAGTAGTACCCGTATTGTGTTATGCTTGACGATTGGAGCAAAGGTCTCCTGATAGTCTATATCATAGGACTGAGTAAAACCCTTGACCATAAGGCGTGTTTTGAGTCAATTTACACTCCCATCTGGGTTGTACTTGATCGTGAATATCCATTTACATCTAACTGGTCGTTTCCCTAGAGGTAGCTCAGATAATTCCCATGTCCCATTTTTCTCAAGAGCACTAATCTCTTTTTGAATAACTGTTTTCTACTCTGGTATTTGAAAAGCTTAATGGACTGTCTTTGGTTCTAGAGAACTGCTGTCTAGTTTACTCATAAATGCATGATGTTTCAGAGATAGATTGCCGAATAATACATAATCTTATATGGAATATTTTGTGCATAATCTGGTACCTCTTCTCACAGCAATAGGTAAGTCAATATCAGTAGAATTGTCAGTAACAAGTATCTCATTACCTGTTGATTCCTGAACCATTGGAGTGGGTATGAATTTATGGCAAGTCCTGATTTGTTTCAGTACTTGTTCCCACGATTTTTTTTCTTTCTAGTATAGACACGTATCTCATTTATTGCAGGTAGTGTATACTCAGTTTCTGCTATAGGTTCTGGTTCAGGATCAGACTCTAGAGGAGGTGAATTTTATGAGTAGATGGAAGGGATGCTGACATCCCACACTTAATATTCCTTAGTAGAATGTTCCCCCTGAATATCAATAGTGGGATAAAAAGACTGATTCTCAAAGAAAGTGACATCCATTATATTATAGAATCGTTGTGTATTCGAAAAAAAAATATTTGTATCCTTTTGATTCGACAAGTATCCAATAAAGATACACTTAAGGGCTCTTGGGTCAAGTTTCTCCCGAAAATGTGAGTGGATATGAATGAAGGCAGAACACCCGAAAACTTTAAGTGACAGTGAGTTTAAGATATGTGAATCAAGAAAGTTCTGAGAGAGAAGATCATAGGGTGTTTGAAAATGCAAAATACGGAAGACATTCGGTTTATCAGATAAGTCGCAGTGAGTATTGCCTCTCCACAAAGAAACTTAGGAACATGAATAGTGAACATAATGGATCTGGCAACTTCAAAAATATGTCTGTTTTTTCGTTTGGTTATGCCATTTTGCTGAGGGGTGTATACACAAAAACTTTAGTGAATAATGTCATGTTCCTCAAAGTATTTCCCAAGAGTGGTTTCAAAATATTCACAGACATTATCAGTTTTAGTACCTGTATAGTGGTATGAAACTTGATTTGGATTATACAATTGAATCTTTTGAAAATGGCTCCTACTTCTGATTTTTCTTTCATTAGAAAGACCCAAGTAATTCTAGTGTGATCATCAATAAATGATACAAATCACTTATTTCCGCATATGTTGGTGACCCTGAAAGGTCTCCAAATAATTACTGTGAATTAATGCAAACGGTTTCGAAGGCTTATATGGCAAACTTGCAAAAGAGTTTCGATGATATTTAGAGATTTGACATACTTCACATTGAAACAAAAGTGAATTTTTATTCTTGAACAACAAGGGTAACATCTTTTGTAGATATAAAAAATTTGGATGACCTAAGCAATAATGCTATAATATGATATCAAGATCATTATTTGATTGATTTACAAAAACAGAGTTTGTACATATTGCCGTTTTAGCTTGTCTTCCAGAAGGACCTGTTTGAAGGAGATACAAGCCTGAGCACATCCTAGCATTACTAATCGTCCTTCCCGATTCCAAGTCCTGAAATTCACATATTTTTGAACTAAATTTATCAACACAGTTTAGATCACCAGAAAGTTTGCTAACCGATAGTAAATTGCAGTATAATTTTAGTACATAAAACACTGAATGAAGGGTCATCTGTGGTGTTAAAACAATGGAACCAGTTCCAGCCACTCTGGAGATTGAACCGTCTGCAATTTTAATTGTGAAATTCTCATATGATGTTTTGTAATTCTGAAATAGGGATACATTACCCGTCATATGGTCTGATGCTCCAGAATCAATCGCCCATGTGTACTGTTTTGACAAACATGCTGTCAAACCAATTGTTGCTTTACCTTTTTGTGCTACCAAAGCACGCATAGGCCGAGTAGGTAAACAGTTCTGCTTGAATAATTGTTAAAGGACCTTTATTTGTGCAGCATTGAATGGACTGCTTTCTGCAACATTTTCTTCAATAGTGGAAGCAGCAATATTTCCTTGACGGTCTCTATTACACTATGTTCTTTCGGCCTTATTCTCGTTGGGTTTCTCGTGCAACTTCCAGCATTTTTCGCAGACATGGCTGAGTTTCCTGCAGTGATCACAGTATGGTTTTCCCTTCTTTCCACAGGAATCAGATCGCGTGGTGAGTGCTAAGGCACTTTCGGCAGAGTAGATAGGCTGAGCTTCTCCCATCATCACCCACCTCCTGCTCTCTTCTCTCCGGATTTCCACGAACACTTCTCGGATGCTGGGTAGTGGTTTTGTTCCCAGCACCCGTCCACGAACCTCATCCAGACTTTTGTTGAGCCCCATCAAGAATTTGAAGATTTTTTTTTGCTACAAAGAGTTTGAACGTTTGAGCATCATTTGGACAACTCCATTAATGCTCCTCGAAGGTATCCAGTTGCTGCCGGCTTCGAGTTAGTAAACTAAAGTACTGAGTAATAGAAAGCTCACCCTGACGCAGCTCATGGAGAGTTGACTCCACCTCGAAGATGGCGGAGACGTTATCTTTGCTAGAGTATGATTTGCGAGCCGCTTCCCAGATTTCCTTTGCTATTTCATACAGCATGAAGTTCTCACCAATGTCGGGTACTACTGAGTTAATAAGCCACGACATTACCATGCTAGTCTCTATTTTCCAGACACGGAAACTTGGGTCGTTGGTTGTGGGAGGAACAGTTTCACCTGTGAGGTAATCGTCGCGACCCTTGCCGCGAATAATCAGTAAGACAGAGGTTGACCATTTAAAGGAGTTCTGTTCGTTCAGTTTATGCCCCGTGATGAACGATGATGCCTGCTCAACTAGGTTGTGATTCGAAGTCGCGGGGAGGTAGGAATCCGAAGAGACTTTGGGAGGAGAGGAATTGAGCTCGTCTGTGGCCATTTGAATTCTGGCTTAGCTAAAGGAAGCTCTCGGATCAGAAATGGCACTTTGATACCATGAAGAGTTTTGTGAAGAAATTCTCTTTTTTTCTCTTATTTCTTTCAGGCACCAAAGGGTGCTTTTTATAGAGGAAAATTGGCATCTTTTCCAGAATGTGAGGAAGGGGTATAACAAATTTCTGTTGTTACCATACCACCTCATCTACTGGGAATTTTCCACTATGCGTAACAGAATGGAGAATAAGAAATACCTAATTTATTAAAACATTTGCTACAGTACAGAAGTAAATGGGGAGGGAACTCGGTCATAGGGGGTGATTTTAATATGATTTTAAGAAGAGAGGAACAAAGTGGTAATGTTTTTTATGCTTCTCAAGCTACAGAGTTCAACAATGTTATTGACAGCCTAGATTTAATTGATCTTCCATTATTGGGAGGACAATAGACTTGGTCTAACAATAGGAGTCATTCAAGAATTGATAGGTTCTTCATATCGGCATCTTTTCTGCTTCAACTAGTCGATCATTCAGAAAAAACTACTCAGGCCTACCTCTTATCACTATCCTATTTGTCTTGAGACTGATGGCTTCCATCGGGGTCTTGTTCCCTTCATATTGGATAACAAGTGGTTAGGAAATGAGGAATTTAGAGTTCTAGTAGCGGAGAAGTGGAGTAATACAGAGATTGAAGGATGTGCCAGTCTCAAAATCGCCTACAAACTGAAAGAGTTAAAAAACGCGATAAAATTGTGGGCAAAAGGGGAAAAGAAAAAGGAAAAAGGGAAGACTGATTCTATCTTGGCCGAGATGTCAGACCTAGACCACAAAGAGGAGTGTTGTGGACTGACAGATGAGGAATTTACAAAAAAAAACTCTCTGAAGATGCAATTGGCCACTATTCTCAAGGCGGACGAAATCTCTTGGAGCCAAAGATCTAGAGAGAAATAGTTGGAGAAGGGTGATTGGAATATAAAGTACTTTCATGCTTTGGCTACTCATAAGAGAAGCTGCAATTTTATTGATGAGATAAGGTATAGAGATAAAACAGTATCCGACAACCAAGAGCTAAAGCGGGCAACTAAAGACTTTTTCTCCCAGCTATGAGGAAAGCTTTAATAGGCGGCCAAAGTTGGATGGTGTCAACTTTAAAAATATTTCTAATGCTAGGAAGCATATCCTAGAAGTTGAATTCTTGGAGGAAGAAGTAACCGACTATTTGAAGACTTGTGATGGTAATAAATCCCCAGATCCTGATGGTTTTAATAAAATTCCAACAAAAATTTTGGTATTGATGAAAGAGAACGTTGTGAATTTATTTAAGGAATTCCACTCATTGGGTAAATTTGTAAGGTCTCTCAACTCCACATTTATTGTTCTTATTCCAAAAAAGAAAGACGTTAATGAATTTAAAAATTTTAGAACTATAAGTTTGGTGGGCTGCATTTACACGTTGATTGCTAAAGTTTTGGCCAGAAAATTTCCTAAAGTGCTTGGGGAAGTGATTAGTGAGAGTCAGCACGCATTTGTGGGGGGCAGACAAATCCTAAATGCTGTCATGGCTGCCAATGAGACAGTGAAAGACCTTGTGGCTAAAGGAAATAAGGGGCTTATATGCAAATTAGACATGGAAAAAGCCTACGACCATG